ATCTAGTCTCTCCTCTCTTCCTTAAAACAAAACTTAACATGGTGTAGAAAATCTATTCATTTTCATCCAGAAATATTGCAAAACCAGTTAAATTGGTTTGATTATTAGTTTTGCTCTATGAAAATTGAAAAACCAACTGAACTGATAATCCGATTTTAATAGAATTAATAAAAAAAATATTCTTTTCCATTTCTTATATGATGGAACAGTGTCAATTGCCTTAAATTGCTAGCTTGTTGCATTTGAAATCCATATTCAGACTTTAAGGCCATTAGTCTCTTTCTTCTTATGTTTATTCAGATTTACAAACACAATATATTCTATATTCATCTACTATGCCCTTATCTTGATTTGATCTTTTAAACATTGCCAATTGCTATCCATATTATTCTTAGATTCTTATAAATATTTGGGAATTCTTTTAAGATATATAATTACTTTAAACTTGCATAAATTGATTAAGATGTATGACAATATTATAAGTATGTCATTATTTATTACACAAGTACACAACCAACCATAAAGTTGGGCAGCAACCATTGGAGAATAAAGATTACTTTTGTTGATAACAAAAGAAAAAAAAAAAAGAATAAAGATTATTTTCTTTGATGTTTGTGATTTTTTTTTTTTGGAAAAATGTATTTGATTTTTTTCCAATAAAAAGGTATAATTGTATATTTTACACAATTAACTCATGATTTTGTATCTGTATAATTGAAATTTACAAAAGAAAGAGTAGTAAAATCAAATCCCTAGAAATAATTTTTTTTAGACAAAACCGTTTAATTCAATCCGAACCAGTCCAATTTAATAATAGTTAGATGGACTTAGTTGTAACATATTAACTAGACTAAATTAGTTTCACATTTTTTCAATTCGATTAAATTGGATTGGATAGAAAAATGGTTAAAAAACGATCCATCAGAACCACAAACACCCTTAATGGTTATGGTTACATTTAAATTTGGTAGGATTACATAAATTATTTAATTTTGTCTTAATTTTATTTAAAATAATTACTAGTTAATAAAATTGTTGATATTTATTATTTAATAATTAAAAATTAATTTTTAAATAAATATTTTCAAACATCTGATAAAATATTTTTAAAAGTGTATATAAACTAATAAAATCAAACTTTTTTTGAGGAAATAATAAAATAAAACTTAAATTGTGTGATACTGACAATTACTTGTGGCATAACAACAGCCAGTCTTTCCATCCATTAATTTGGTCAGTTGAAACCCAAAAATATTAAATAAAATCCTTATTTTTTTACTAAATTTTTGGTATTTTGAAGTTACATTATACATTAAATTAATTTGAAATTAAATTGTATTAGATCTTATAAGAGAGGAATTATTTTAATGTTTACTTTTCTATTTATAAGATTTAAATTCAAAATTTTATTTAAAAGAAATCGAATTTATTTCACTCATTATTCATGATATTTAAGCGAGAAGAAATTTTCTAACATTATTATAAGGGTGGTATAAAAATAATTTTTTATATAATTTTCATATAATTTTTATATAATTAAATTAATAAATATATAATATTATGAGTCTCATTAAAATGAAAAAAATTATTTATTAAATAATATATTAAATTTTATAAAATATTATTTAATAAAAATTATCTTTTAATTCTTTTCCTTATTTAATTAACCTTGCTTTCTACTCATATTTTAAATTTGACTAGTTCGTGCGACCCGGTCGATTAGCGGGTATTGTGTCTTTGCTTGTTTATATACTGTAGGGTAGAGCCTTTGTATTAATAATTTAACTAGAGTTAGTTAGTAATTAATAATTAATATAAGATAGTTTGTTATTATTAAACTTTATGATATTGCATTTTGCTATAAACTATATTATAGGTGCATCCCATTTAAAAATTGGGGTTCAAATCCCTCCACCTCAAAATTGTAACATGTTAAAAAAAAATTTAAAGTTTTTGATTTTAAATTTTTAATTCTTTTAATTAAAAAAGAAGATTTCGACAAAAGCCCCCTGTTTGCCTTTAATGTTTTGAGTTCGATGCATTTTACCTCTCATATTACAATATATAAATTTTTATCCTCTATATTTTTAGTTTAGGGAAATGAGGTAAAATTTAATGTCGATCACATGCTACACATGCACTGTTAGCTTTCGTCATACATTTACATGTCAGCATCAACTTAGACTTTTTTTACATATTGGCAAGTCTAACTTGGACCCTTTCCAATAATTTTTTATTATTATTTTTATTTTTATTTTTATTTTTTTCTTTCCTCCCTTTCCCTTTCCCTTTCTTCAACTTCTGCCATCCCAAACATCTCAACCAATCTCCAACATTTCAACTAATTTCTACCTTTCTGGTTTCTTCATCATCATCCAACAACAAAACCTATAAAAATAAATAAATTTTTTTAATTTTTTGCCACTGGGTTTGAAGAAACCCAAGCGTGCTGGGTTCCATCCAATCATCGAAAAATTCAATTCAAGCAATCCCACCGAGAAACACAAGCCCTTGTCAAAAAAAAGTTATCACCACCACCGGCCACCCCTTAGCCACCATTGACAAAACAATTCCCAATTCCTCCTGAGGCCAACCAAACCCCTTCCTCCTCACCCATCGTTGAGAGGACAAGATAGCCATGCCGCCTCGCCATCCAAAGCAAAACAGATCAATAAGCTAAGATACACTGCTTCTTTTCCCTGACCCCCACCACTTCCACCACTAGATCAAAATCTTCCATGGCCAAAAACCCGTTCATCGCCTCCATCATCCCTGTGTGTTCCCTTTCTTGTCGCCAAGACTCGATGAATCTACAAGAAACCCCAAAATCTAAGCAAAACCAAAATCCTCATCGCACAAAAAACCCACCCCTATCAAAGAGAGACAAAATCCTTGGCCTCTAACAAAAGAGATGAAAAAGTGTTTTCTAAATCTACTTAAATCCAGAGATTCGATTCTTGTGGATATGTATATTGTACATGATGTAAATAAAACTACATTTTATGTAGAATAAATTATGGAAATTGAACATGGAACAAGCATTGGGAGATCAAGAAGAAGCAAAATAATAATAATAATAATAATAGCCAACCTAGGCCTTGGTTACTCCATTGCCATCGCCTTTGGCTGCCTCGTCCTCCTCTCCACCATCCTCCTTGCCTTTTACATTTGCTGTTGCTCCACCCCCTCACTCCCTTTCCCACAAACCCACCGCCACTTCCACCTCCAATGGGATCATTCTCTTGAAGATTTTTTTTGTTACCAACGATGATAACCAAGAACCCACACTTGAGTTCCAAAGAGCCCACGCATTGGGTTCTTTCGCACCCAGCACTCCTAGATTCGTTGGAACACAGGCACGAGTTCTTTTGAACCCAAGTGTTGGCGTTCGAAGGAACCCAGTGGCAAAATTTTTTTAAAAGAAGTCTCTTTTTTTGTGGGTTTTGTTGTTTAATGATGATGAAAAA